GGTAATATCCTGATTAAACAAAACCTTTGTTGACTAAATGAGTATCTGTTATTTTGTCATTACTTTTTAAATATACTTACAGAAATGTAAAAAATGGCAATAATGATTTGGCTGGAATGAACTAAAACTAAACTACTACAATGAAAGTGTTTGTGAGGGCTACAAACAGGGCCTGGAACTGGCTCAATGCTTGTGACAGGGTGCAATAAATCCTCCAGGTCTTTTCCTGTCAGGACTTGATCATACATAGAAAAGGGAGAGATGTGAAGTAGCATCGCACCTTCCTTCAGGAGTAAGCTAAGCCCTTCTTCTTCATGACAACGCTGCGATTATAATATCAAATGTTGCTTCTGTTTGGAGGAGTGATGGCAGCAGTGAGGAAGGAGAGCCGGCAGCAATTTTCTGGGCCGAGAGTGAATTAAAGGTGTGGGTGTGTGTGCGTGTGTGTGTGTGTGTTGTCGGCGGAGGGTCCAGTGGGAAGATGAGGGTTGGGAAACCAGATGTCACTCTGGGCAGACAGGAAGGTTGTAGCAGTCTTCCAGCTCCAAGCTGACAACAACTGCATCCTCCTGCATGACCTCTGACCTCCTCCTCCTCCTGACCCTGCCCCCTTCTCCTCTCAAACAAGTCTGAAATTCCAGGAATGTAATTAAAGTCACAGCTTCAGGTAGTCAGACTGCCAAAAACTGAGGACTGAGTTGTGCTCAACATGTCTATTTGTGCATCTCTGCTACAGTCACATGCAGCAACCACCCAAGTAATCAACCCCTCTACAATCAGGTTATACTGGAGAAAGAGTAATACATTTACTGTAAAATCTGAGGCTCCGCTAGTGTGAAAGTATGAGAAACAATCTGAGCAGGTGACCAGTTTGATCCCTGACAGAATAAGTCTGGGTGGGGAGGTGCATTAGCTTGAGCTTTTGCTTCAGCTGTTTTCTTTTCTGTGGTTGTACAGGGCAGGTTTCAGTGTGTGTGTGTCAGTATGGAGCCAGCTGTTAATGAAACAATTTCTGCAAAAATCTATCTTTGCAACATTTTGAAGGCCCAGAGATGCATGGCTTACACCACCAACTAATCAGCAATAAAATGCCACATCAACAGACCACAAATGTCCAGGCTTGTTTACACATTGCAATCACATCACTGTGGACCAAGCTGCTGTGCACAAACAGTGCCAAAAATCTCTTGGTCCTGTGGGTATAAATGATCAAACAGTGTGTGCAACAAATCCAGTCCACTCTGGACTTTAGTACCAGATCCTCTCACTTTATCATATCACCACATCCACCAAGACTGCTCATAATTTTACAGGGGGAAACAGATCATGGTAGCAATGAAGACTAGTACACAGCAAGAAAAACCTGAACCACAAAAATACAAAATTATAATTTGCTCAATAGTTGAGGCTGCAACATAGAAGACACAGACCAAATCTGTTTAAGCTACAGCTAATACCTAATATTTGTCACGCAACTGCAAAGCCTACCTACTACCAGTCGATAGACAGAGAGAGGTGGGAATGCAGTCTAAGAGGGTGAGAACTGTACAAGGGAACAGGAACAAGTCAGTGTATAGCATATGAAAACTGAAACAGGACTCTGCCTGGTGCCTCCAGCTTGAATTCAATAAGCATCTAGCTGCTGATTTATGAGACCCTCTCTCCATCCAGCTCACTCCCTGGCAGCCTGGGTTGATGTATGGCTGACCGATGCTCGTCGGCTGTGGCTCACCCAGCTGCCTACTGCATATACCAGTTACAGTGCCAAGTCAAATATAATGGCTCAGTGCTCTGTCACACTGAGATGGAGAGGTCCAGCTGCTCTCAGTGTCCACATCATGGCACAACACTCATTCCTCCCATTTATATAAGTTCTACATTTTCCAGAAGATACTGTATGTGGTACAGTAGCTCGTCTTGATACTGACTGAAAAATGCAAAAACAGCTTGTATTTCTAACAAATGTATAATAGGGCATGTTAGAAAGAAACAGACATAATATATGCCATCTGTTATTTTACTCAAGTCCAAGGTTTGAGATCATTGATTGGTATCATAATTTGCATTAAAAGCATCAGCAGGTTTTATTTGTCCAACATGCACCAAAGAAATCTGGCTGAACATGAAACTGTCTTCATGCTTCTGCTCCAAGACCAATTTGGGAGCATCGGCACAGAACACAGAGACAAATGGTGTTTTTATGTGTTAAGTCACAGCAAACAAAAGTAAAAAATGCAATAATTAACATCTTTCTATATAGGGCTGTTGTTTTCTGTTCTTATATATTAAAACGCCACCTGGAAAATTATCTTTATTTAACAACTGAACAAAAATCATACAATGTAAAAATCTGAGTGGAAAGTGGATTTTAAAAACAGCACTAGCAGCGCAAACACACTGTAGTTTAAGTTTTAATAGTGTTTTTGTCTGAGGTACTTATTATAATCCGATTTCTTTCCTCCCTCTATAACCAAAAACATTTTTCTGAGAGGTCACCACTGCGAGCTCATTTACTGTAAACAACAGTGATCGGTGTCTCTGTGCAGCAGGAAACACAAATCCTTGTGGATTTGTGGGGGATAAAATCCAGGTGAAAAATCGATCTGCTCCTTTTGAAAAAAATCTGCATTTGTTTTCTGTGCGAAAGAGGAAATGAGCATGAAAACAGTGTCTCTATCATGCTTAAATATATGACCTATTTACACTGACACGGTATAAATGTGAGCACCTTGGTGTTAAACCTTCTGTGACCAGTCAACAGTCACGTGTGCTGTGTTTGGACATTCACATGCTTATTTACTGATTGATTTATTGCATTTGTCCCTTGGTGCTCTTTTCTCATAAACACAGCATTATCTTTGGTACTGTGCTGCTTTCTTATCTGTATCCTGTTTTCTCTCAGACTTCCCCTCAGTGATCAGAAGAGTTTAAAGTTTCATCTAATCTATTTTGATCTATGGCATTGGTATGTAAAATATAATATGCACAGGTGAGACTGCTTTGTGTTTTCAACTCTGAATTTTTGTGAGATTTGAAGAACTCAGTGTTAAGTGACTGCAAACCTCCATTCCACAGATGAGACACTACACCAGAAACCCAGATGTCAAACCCAACACCTGATAGCAGGGGACTGGTTTCTTTCTGCATGCCTCCTCCAGGTGTATGGCTGCTCCGGGCTGCCTCGTCAGGAACCGTGGGAGAGCATGTACTTTCAGGATAGGAGGAGGAGGAGGCCTTCATAACCTCAGACTGCGCTCGAGAAGATCAGTGTGTCAAAAGGAAAGACAGAAACATCTGAGGACCTCGCTGTCCTGATCAGACTCCATCTCAGAACTGCCAAACTGCTTTCTGAAGATGCCGGAACAAAGGCTGGTGTGTACATATGTATGTGTGTTTATAAATGTTACAGCACTTAATAAATTATTTTAAAAGTATTTATTTATATTAAAATTTATTTGGTTAACAAAGGTATAAACTAGAGAAAACCAACAGGAAACATTTAGAGATTTTTTTGGTGCTAGACTTTATGGCTGAGACGGCTGCTGACGATGTGCACGTCATTGTGTACGTACATTCGTGGGTTTAGCTGGGTTTTGTTTTCCCATTGTTCCCAAGCTGAGGCAACCCGGATAACAGCCAGTGTCGATTGCAGAGTCATTTGTCCCAGTAGTTGCGTTCCCACTGCTGTCAAAGTCTGAGGTGTGGTGAGTTTACACGGGTTTTTTGGGCAGTGGGAAAGGGGCTCTCGTATGAACGCACTGATAGCTGCTAAAGTTACAGCTATACTTGTCACACACAAAGCATGACTGGGACAGCACTGAAATATGTTTTCACTGGCACACTAGTGTCCGAATCAGTGACAAAAGGTTCATTTCTGAGCATGTCCAGACCAGCATGACATTTCTATGATGTAACCCTGGAAGTGTAAATATGCAGCAGAGGTTTACATTCAGGGGAACAGATACACTGTACATCTTTTGTTTTTTTCTTTCTGTCAAACTATGAACTATAAGTCGTACTGAAGGTCAAAGACAAACACAATTTCTCTGACAAAGAACAAAAGAGAGATAGAGCGAAATAGACCCAGTACAGAAATTCTCAAAACCTTTAAGTCTGCATCGTAATACAGCTACGGGCTAAAACCTACCAGACTTCAAGTAGCTGAAGGAGTTTATTTGGCCAAAAGGTGAATTGTTCTTTTCAAAACTGCACTATTTCTTAAAATGTCCTATTTGCGTCTGAAGATGGTAGCGGTTCTGACACTTAAGACAATGTGAATCACGCGGCAGTCAAATGCGGAGAGACAAATCTGTCACACAAAGGAGTGTTTGTACGATTGCTCCCAGTGGGCTGGGAGATCACGGGGGTGCTCTGTGACACAGCGCAGACATCATGGAAAAGCACAGCAGCATCACGCTGCAATACAGGCCACAGCCATGATTTCTTCTTTTGTGTGCTGGCAGTAGTTACAAGGTAAAAATGTAGACTTCTAAGGTTGTCCGTTTAAATCCTTTGCACTATTTGCACATCAATATTAAACCTAATGTTTATTAACTATTTTAACATATTTTAGCCTGAGTTGACAAGGAACAAGTCTGAAAAGCTGCCTGCATGGTTGTCAGACTAAAACTAAGCTTTACTTATGTCAACAATAAGACTAAATCATATAACTTTGCAATACACGAATGGCACAGACTAAATTTTAATGTGAGTTAGATGTGCAGAAGAAAACACTGAGACTTGATACTAATCCGGACATGATGACAAAATAGGGAGTCCTTTGCTGTTGAATTTAAACGATTCCAGTGATAATAAAGGCTATTTATACAATAAGTGACAGAGCCATAATTAATTTCATAAATCTCCTTGTGCTGACAATTCTCTGTTGTTGCGAAGACACAGGAACATTTGGTTGACATGTTAATTTGTTTGTGGTATTCACTACTGGTTAAGTTGTTTGTCATTTCTCCTGCACTCATTATAAAGAAAACATAACGCACCTCTGCTCCAGAATACTTGTTGGTCTGAGTCACCAGGTCTTCAAGAGACACACTTGGGTCCACGGGCATGTTGCGGAACTGAAGAGAAAATATCTCCCGTCGGGTTGAAGCATCTGGAAGAGGCACATAGACGATTCGGTCGAGGCGACCTGGGCGCATCAGAGCCTGTGGGACAAAAAGAGGACAGCATCTGTTTAACCATCATGTTTCACACATCTGTCAGGTTAAGGATTACAAATCATTATCATGCATCAGCAAAATAGCTGACCTGCTGTCTGACATTAAATTCAATGGAAAATAATTCTTTGATTCAGGTCTTTTCCAGCACTTCCTCTGATAACACTGGTGTCACAAAAATACTGTTAAAACACCATGGCTCTGACCTTTGACCTCTTTACCGCTTGTCTGTTTTGGTAAACATAGGAATTGAAGCTTACTTCTCCTATTGCATTGATTATACGCCTTTTTGAACAGGACCAAGAACCAAATACCTAAAATGCAAACTGTGAAATTTTCATTTCCACTTCTAGCAGTCAGAGTGGAGACAATGTTGATGTTATCAGACAAACCCTTCACTTCCTACAGATCACATCTCTGTGACCCCAGAATATCCAAAGCTGCTGCTGTCTCGCTTGTCAGACATCATTAAGTGGCAGGCGCCGCTCAAACACAGACAAGCAGATGGACACACAAATACGTGCTGCCTCCATTCACTCTCCTCAGCAAGGCTGCAACTAGGTGTGATATGGTACAGTACTGCTTGGTTTGACCGGCCAGCTAGATGAAGAACACTCATTTCTAGTAAATAACTAATAACAAAGTATTTCATTTGCCATGTGTAACAATTTAACTGAAGCAACAGAATGAAGGAGTGACAGAAAAACAAATATCAAATGGACCTGACAGTTTCATTGCTGTTGTTCTCCCAAGTCTCAGTGAGGCCTGGATGTAATGACAGTGGAGCGCCTGGCTTTGGGCCAGACAGGCCACAGTGGGCTAAACCCTGGCCAGCGCAGTCGAGACAGGAGACGCATGCAGACACAAGCCATGCAGGATGTTATGTCAGGAGTGATCAGTGAAGGTTGGAGAGACTGGACCAGCAGCCTTTGAACTCTTGTTTACATAGTCATCACAGTGCTATTCCTGCTACTCTACATGCACCATTGGACTAGGAACATTTACAGCATGTCATCCTGTTTGCTTGATGAGTAGATAAGGACAACATTCAAAGGCTAGGAGTTTGGGTTAATGACAGGATTAACCCAATTTCCCAGTGGTGACACCCAAGAGACAACATAGGTACTTGGGTTCAGTTTTCAGAATGTTGATAAATGTGATTGTTGAATAATTGTTTAAGCCATTTATCAAGCAGGAATACAAAACGTTTGCTTGTGTTAACTTCTCAAAATTAGACAGATAAACATATAGGTAGGACTTATCTACTTGAATGTCTTTGGACTATTAGTCACCTAAAGTAGACAATTTAGAGACACCAACTTCTTAAAAATAGTGATGGATGTTTTCACTATTTTCTGACATTTCAGAAACCATCAAATTGTCTTTTAATGCTGCATTTCAAGACCAGTGTGCTTGATACAATTTTAAAATCTTTTTTAACAGTGTATTTAATTTCCACTTTGTATAACCAATTTCCTGTTACAGGAGTGGGAATAGTGGACAGTTTTCTGGCCTTTTATCTGCTGCTTTTTGCGTTCTTGTGCCTGTGAATGGAGTGTAAGGGGATGGAAACAGGAGACAAACATTAGTAGCTACTCTTAGGTAACCACAACAGAGCAATGGCTGACAAAGGACCAGTGGATTACGAGTGGAAAGGTTCTTGCTTTTCAGGTCTCTGGATTCTTCCTCACACTTGAGGAGAGAATCAAGCTTTGGTGGGTAATTGTCAGGGCCGCTCGGCGGCCGCTGCCTCTCCTCCGTCTTTCTCTCCTCTGCTTTCTCTATCCTGTGGGCTCTGCACCTCAGTTTGCCGGAACATTAACATAGTAACGCGGACTGTACATGTTGGTAGAATGCTACGCTGACAGACACTGTGCGTTTTGGCTTGACTCTACCACACTACCTACGAGCTACACTCATTTAAACTACACTACATATTATACATATCCAAGTACTGTACTTTCCCATGTTATGTTCTTTTGATATTTTTGTGTTCTCTTTCTTTACCTGCTACCATCATGTTTTTCCCCCTAGCACCTGGGTCTGCAAACTTGAGTCCAACCTCAGTCCTCCCTCACCCTCCTGGTGAGGGGGGCTGCCATAACAGTAATGAACCATCGGTATATAACGAATAGAGAGGAATAACTTTACTGTAATTCAAAGCAGGGAAACAGTGGCTGTTAGGGAGGCGTGCTGGGAGACGGATGGACGGAAGGTTTGAGTGCTGCAACATGACATTAAAGTCTTGAGACTCAAAGAACCCAACGTGTCTGGCAAACAACTATAAAACAACACATTTGAGACTTAGTTTGTTGTCATAGCCCTAACAGGTTAGGGGGTATTTTAGGTTTGTGTGTGTGTGTAGGAGGTGAGACGGTTGCAGCCTGTGGTTGTCACAGCAGGTCGAGCAGCAGTGTGTATTATACTATGCAGAGGACGTGCCAGGGACACTTCCTGAGTTGCTCTCCCTGGAAGTATCTGGCGACAGCATGCCAACACAAACTTGTTGACCGCCGGCTAAATAACTCACAGACAGACACTCCCATGCACACTGACAAACAATTGCACGTACACGAACATGCTTGTAAGCAGTAAGTCCACAATTCTGTTAAACCCCCTTTGGCTTGGTCTTTTAAATTCAATATATTTTTCAAGTGCAAAGATGATGCCTGCTATTTTATCAGCAATTAATTCACAGCAAATATAATGAATGAAGAAGTGTCTGTGGCTTCCAGGCGCTCAGGCTCCAAGGGTTCCAAGGAGCTCTCAAAAAGAAGAGCCGACCCTCAGCTTTGAGACTGCTAAACTACTTCTGACTGCACTGGAGGAAAAGAAAGGCTTTTTTCTTTCCTCTCAGCAAGAGCAGGGGGCCCATCCATCACTTAACAAGATACACTTCCTGTTCTCAAGGAACAGTGTTTGGGGTAGGAGAGTTGGAGGAAGAGGGGGGAGGAGAGGAGGAGGTAAGGGGGGACCCCAAAAGACAAATACTTGGCTTGCCATGGAGGGTAAGCGTTGAAGGGCTCTTGCTGTAATGGCATCATTCCACCTGAAAACTTGGGTCAACTGGCAGGAGGTAAGACAAGAGGGAATAAGAGAAGAGGACAAAAACAACTAGACCAAGGGACCGAGACAGCCCACCTGAAAAGACTACAGGACCAAAACAAATAAACACAGATACGTGTGGGAGACAACAAAATGCCATCAGGAAAAGTCAGATGGATAAATTCTCTGTTGTTCCAATGTTGCAATGAGTCTGCAGGACGGACTGCATCCACCTTACTGCACCACTGACATGATAAGCACCGTTACATTTAAGCCATTAGTAATTACAGTAAAAATGCCTCTAGATAAGAAATACCAACTAACCAACTTCTAGTCAATACTGAAGCTCTTATACTCCACTAAAGCTGGCTAAACGCACTCAGTGGATTACCCTGCAGAGCAAAATCAAACAGTGCAATGGTGAGTTTTGAAAAACAAGCATGGCCTACGCTGAATCAGTCACGCTGATCAAAACACACAAAGACAGAAAAGAGATAAATAGAAGAGGAAAAAAAACAACTAATCTGCTCTCTCTGCGCCAAGTTTCACTGCCGATAACAAAAGTAATCATTCCAGGCACTGCAATCCTCCTCAAGAAGTGATTAACCCCTAATGACAGATGACTTCCTATCTGTGAAGGCCGGTACCTCTCCCTAACCAGTGGGGAATGTCGGGAATCTTCTCCTTGGAGCGTTGTTGCTGAGCACATTCTTGGCCAACTTCATTCTGACCTGTGGCTGAGCTAAGACTACAAACCATTTATAAACACATGCCCCCGCAATCTGTGTGGCTAAATCAAGATCAAATCTGCTTTGTAGCTCACACACTGTTCATATCAAATGAAAAATGAAAGGAAACACTGGGTTTATGACACTGAACATGATGACTAAGGTCTTCCCTGTAGATCTGGTGAAATCTTTCTATTCTTCAAAAACATTTTTTGTTGGTACTTTTTCCAACGTGCAGGATTACAGCAGGCTGTCTGGGTTAATAAGTGGCTTGCCTGAGGAAGCATGAGTTGACTTTGTTCCCTGCCTGAAGGCATTTGCTGTATGTGGTTTCCTAACCTGTCAGTCCACAATCCTCAGAGGCCTTGATGAGTCATACTAACTTGGAGATGGGCCGTCATGGATTTATGCAAAAACACACACCAAACACAAAAAATGCAGTGTGTGTGATGGGAACCAAAAGCTCACAGACAGGTCATAGAGGCCTAATTCTGGAGTTCAAATATGGGAAATTAATACAAGGCACTGACTAAATGCTGGTAAATGTTGGGTATTGTCAGGTTAACAACAATATTTTACGGTAGGTGATTCATAAAGCAGGTAATTCAGTGAAAGTAGTGGCTAAAATTTGGGATGTGGCAGCCAGTGGTCGACAGGCGAAGCTCAGTTTTTAATCCGTTTTCATACTTAAGCCACATACTTGAATCAAGGCCCAGGTTTGTGTCTTCAGTGGTTTGGGAGGAAGTTTGTTTTCATGCATTTCATGCACCGACTGTATAGCATCTGTCACTGCTGTGAAATATACTACTTTTGCATCTCCTGTATAAAAACGTTTCTGTCCTGCTACAACACAAAAAGTGATGACATGCAGTCAAACCTGAGTGTGTGAGATGTCATAATGCAGCAGAAGAGGTGCACGTTTGGTTTATGAAACATACGTTTCACCAAACAAAGTGACAAGGTGTTTTGTGCTGTGCTCACTGTGCATCCTTGACCTGCTGTTACAGCAGTGATTTGTTTTATCATGTATTTTTCACTGACGCATACTGTCATGTATGAAGAGGATAACGAGGCCGATCAGGGCGGTATGTCATGTCAAGCACATTAATCTATTGGCTTTTACATGCAATGAATACTCCTGGAAGTTTTGCAGGAAAGTCCGTGTACCATTAATTTAAAACAGTCTCAGAGTGAGTGACAACACCCCTGAGCTTC